GCCTCCCAGCCTCTGTCCCATCTCTACTCTGAGAGGCACCGGGAAGGCTAGGGCTGGACCCCGTTTGCCGTGGGAAGGTTCCTTACCCCTTCCTGACCCATGAAGTAGGGGAGCTGGAGGATGGAGCCCACTGCATGAAGCTGTAATGAAGATTGGGGGGGGCAAAATTTAAGGAACAATGGGCGCTGGCATGTCATAAGCGCCCAATGAAGAATTTGGCTGTGATTCTATTATTACTGCATGTCCTAGGCATGATTTGCCATGGAGGAAGGCATCACTTAGTTAAAACTCATTTGTAGGGGGCACCTGTGTGGCTCAGTCAGTTAAGCGTCTGCCTTTGGCTCAGTCCATGATCTCAGGGTCCTGGGATTGAGCCCTGCGTCTGGGCTCCCTGCTTCTCCCTCTCCCTCTGCCCCTTATCCCCACTTGTGCTCTCTCTCTCTCTCTCTCAAATAAATAAATAAAATATTTGTAAAAATAAATAAATAAAACTCATTTATCTTCACGGAGCCCCTCCCCCAGGGGATCATGCATCTGAACCTAATCCCTGCTAATTCTGCTGAGGCTGGACCATCATAAGAAGATTGGAGCATTTGCTAAATTAGTCCTGTTCAGGGACGGAGGAAACAACCGGGGTGGGGGGGGCTCAGAGAGCAGGAGGGGTGGAGTGCGGGGAGAACGCAGACATAAAGGGGTGAGGGGAGAGACATAAGCACACCTGAGCTTGAGACTTTGGAACAAGGAAGAATGAGGGAGGATCAAAATCGGAGGGTAGAGGATAAATACCAGCAGGGTCTGGAGGGCCCAGCAAGATGAATATAAAACCCAAGTACCTATTCCTAGTTGTGGGATCTTGGGCAGGTCACTTGACCTCCCGCAGCCTCGGTTTTCTCATCTGTGAAATGGGGAGAATAAGAGCATCTATCTGACACAAATAGCATCTCTCCAATGGATTGTTTTGAGAATCAAGAGTGTTTGGACTGGCTTTCTCCAGTGTCTGGCAAACAGTACATGCTCGGTGGATTTTTCTTTTTTCCTTCTAATGTATTGAGGTATAATTTATATCCTGTAAAATCTACCCATTGGAACAGTACAGTTTGAGGAGTTTAGAGAATCATATACGGCCATGGAACCACCACCATGATCAAGATATAGAATACACCAGAGGTGCCTGGCTGGCTCGGTTGGAAAAGCATGTGACTCTTGATCTCGGGGTTGAGTTCGAGCCCCATGTTGGGTGTAAAGATTATTAAGAAAATATAAATAAACTTTTCTGTTTTGTGGCCAAGTAAGAATCCATTGGATGGGGTGCCTGGGTGTCTCATTTGGTTAAGTGTCTGCCTTCGGCTCAGGTCATGATCCCAGGGTCCTGGGATCGAGCCCCGCATCGGGCTCCTTGCTCAGCGGGAGCCTTCTCCTTCTCCCATTCCCCCTGCTTGTGCACGCGCTCTCTCTCTCTCTGTCAAATAAATAAATAAAATCCTTTAAAAAAAAAAGATCCATTGGATGGCCCGACCACATTTTGTTTATCCATTCAATAGTTGATAGACGTTTGGCTTATTTCTGTCCTTTGCTTATTGCAAATAATGCTACAAGGAACAGGAACCCTCAAGTTTTTGCTTGAACACCTGTTTTCAACTCTTTGGGGTATATACTCAGAGGTGGAATTACTGGGTTGCTACTTTTTTGTCACCTAATGTACCTATTAAGCAGTCACTCCCCATTCCCTCCCTCCCAGCCAGCCCCTGGGCAACCTCAACTCTGCTTTCCCTCCCTATGGATCTGCCTCTTCTGGACAGTTCATATGAATGGAATCTTAAACTATGTGACCTTTTGTGTCTGGTTTCCTCTGTGAACGTACTTAAAATCACTGAATTGCACACTTTAAGGGCATAATAATGGGGGCACCTGGTTGGCTCAGTCAGTAGAGTGTGCAACTCTTGATCTTGAGGTGGTCAGTTCGAGCCCTGAGTTGGGTGTAGAGATTACTTTAAAAAAAAATAAGATCTTTTTTAAAAAAAGATGATAGTAACGGTCAATTTTATGTCCTGTGTGTTTTACCACAAAAGTAAATGTTTATTGGGCACTTACCACGGACCAGAGGTTCAGGACCAGGTACTTAATGTAAGGATCTCATTTCGTTCTCTCGAGGTAAGTTTTCTCCGTGTTACAGGAGGGGAAGCTGAAGCTGGGAAAAATGAATCACCCAGGATTCTGGGACCAGAAGTGGCCAACCCAGGCTCGGACAGCAAGTGTGTCTGACCCCACCAGCCCTGTGCCCCCCACACACACACGCCCCCACAATATACACACACACACACACAAATCTTAACCTGGGGCTCCAGGACTGAGAAGGACAGAAGCAGACAACAGTGACTTACATTTGGAGAAACAGAAAAATGGGCAAAGAAAAGAGAAGAAAGAGAAAGAAAAAGGTACAGATCCAGCAAAGAGAAATGGGGACCTGGGAGTCTGAGGGACCGTCAGAAGGAAAAGAGAGAAGCAGAGGTGAGAGGGACATGGGGGGGGCTCGAGGCTGGCTGACAGGGAGGGCCTGTGTCCTCCCATGGGCCACTGAGGCAGGAAGCGCGGCCACCTCCCCCTCCTTGCAGAGGGGAACTCAGGGGCTCGGCGAAGTCTCAGCGGGTGGAAGCCGGCATCTGGAGCCCATGTCTCTGCTTAATTGGCTTTAGGGAGATACCAAGGAAAAGACAGTGACCAGACAGAGAAAGCACGTGGACCAACCCATGTCCCCAGAGACCGGGTGGGGGCGGGGCGGTTGGAGGGACAGAGCGACCTCTTTTTTCACCTCCCCTGGTTGGCCCCTCCTCAGAAATTAAAAAAAAATAAAAATCACCCAGACTGGGCGCCTGGGTGGCTCAGTTGGTTAAGCAACTGCCTTCGGCTCAGGTCATGATCCTGGAGTCCCGGGATCGAGCCCCGCGTCGGGCTCCCTGCTCGGCGGGGAGTCTGCTTCTCCCTCTGACCCTCCCCCCTCTCATGTGCTCTCTCTCTCTCTCATTCTCTCTCTCTCAAATAAATAAATAAAATCTTTAAAAAAAAAAAATCACCCAGACTTTAGGTGGGATTCAGCATTTTAATCATTGTCACTCTGTGGGTGGCCTGGAGGGAAGGAGACTGGAGTCCCAGTGAGTGGGAAAAGGTACACAGAATGAGGGAGGCTCCCGGACGCTTCCTTCTCCCCCTTGTCACTCGCCCTGGCTTTAGGAAGTAGAACCTTTGCCATCCCCAAAGTTCAGGAGGCTGGCCCCGGGAAAGGAAGCGGGAAGCTCCTGAACAGACTCACCTCTAGGAATTCTGCCTGGACCCCCCAACCCCTACCCCAGTTTGCGCTGTCCTCTGTATATCCTTCGTGCCCCACACTGGACTCTGAGCCGCTCCTGGGTTTAACGTCCCAGAGGCCAGCATGACTCAGGCCCATGAGAGAGTCACGTGGTGTGCTGAGTAAACCTTCCTTGTGGGCTCTAGTGATGGCAGTTTGCCCTCAGGGCTCTTGGGGGTCTAGGCTGTGTGGACCTCTCCTGGCCTGGACCCGGAAAAGCCATCTGAGGCCTCCTGACATCCCTTCCTGCACCGAGGACCTGGAGCTAGCTCCTACCAGCCCATGAGCGCAGATGGCATGCATCGGGCTCTGAGTCCCGGACCTTAGATCAGCGCCTAGAAATCAGCCATAGTGGGAGAATTTGTACCATGGAAACTGGCAAATGCTAAAATCAGGGCTTTTCCTCTTCTTTGGAGGGCTAGTGGTTACCACGTACCAGCACACCGCCGCCTTCCTGCCTTACTTCCGGCTAACTTGTGAAGCCCCCTATGAAAGGCTCATGGCTTCTGTCTCCCCCAGGGCCAAAAACAAAAGAAAAATTCAGACCGAGGAAGCAAGGCCAAAGCACCGAACTTCCAAGAGTGTCAAAATGCTTGACTCCTTCTTAAAATTCTCTCTGGGCTTGTCTTTGTCGCTGGGGGTCAAGTTGCATGAGAAGAAAGATGGCACCGCCCCAGGGAAACTTCCTCAGGCCAGGCTCTCTGGTCCAATCCCCGCAATGGGAACAGGAAACAGAATCTAAGAGAGGAACTGTGTATTTGAAATGCAGGGCTTCCTCCAAATTCACTTCTCTCCCCTGACCCCCATCTCTTGCCTATTTACAGATGGGAAGCCTGCCACCTCCTCTTCTTTTTCGAAATATCCACAGCTAGAGTTGGGGCCCACAGTCGGTCCCAACTGCAACTACCTCAGTTCCTCCAACGCTTGGGTGAAATTCACCTTTAGAAAATCCTAAAACAAAAGGAGAAAAAGGAGACATGAAACAGGCAGCTTGCCTTCCATTCTCCCACCAAATGTGTCCATTCTGAAAGAATGCATGAATGAAGAAATGTCTTTAAGAAAAGCCTAAGAAGAAGAAGAAGAAGAAGTAGAAAAAGAAATATATATATATATATATATCAAAGAGCCCCCTAAACCTACCATATAAAACCTGACGTGTGCAATCTATAACATCCCCAAATGGATTTTTTTAATTGAACTGTATACAGTTGGTCTAAGCTTCCATGGTGGGGCTGCTTAAAAGTCTGTCTTTGGATTTTCTAGAAGGATCTCTAGCCATATGCTAAGGAAGTGTCCTGAGTGGAAGGTACGGAATTGAGCCTCCCTCCCTGTCTCACTGTTCAAGGGCATCTTGAGGCTGACCTCACTAGTACCCCCACATCAACTGCGAGTGTGGTTTAATTTCGTCTCGGGGCACATTCTCGGCACCAGTTTCTGGAGTCTGGGGCTCGTGGTTTACAATGGCAGCTGGGTTGAGTGTCACTAAGACCTACTGAGCCTCACCCCAGGCCCCCCCCCCCCACCGGAAAGCAAGGAGTCCCTGATGGGGGTGGGGGGGACTGTCGTGAGAAAAGCCATGGCCTTTGGAGGGAAGGCCAGCTCCGAGGCTTTCCCAGGGAGGCCCGTCCCAGGGCAGGTTGAGACGAGACGCAGGAGCGTATCCTCTACAAGATCTGAAACTTCCAGGCACTCTGATCCTTGTAATCCAGAGGGTCCATGGGGTTGTAGGTGAACTTCCAGGTGCCTGTGGGGTCCTTAAATTCCAAGCTGTCCACAGGACTGTACGTGCCATAGCTCTGGCCCGACAGGGAGGTGGGGGACTGGGCCAGGGAGGGCCCCACGGACGGGCCGGAAAGGGGGCTGAGAGCCGGGCCCCCCAACTGGGGCACCATGGGGGAAAGATAGGGATCCAGGCCACTGAAATAGGAGCTCGGAGACCCATAGGCTGAGGGGGAAGAGCAGAAAGCAGAAGCAGGGGCGTAGGTCATGGCGTAGGGCGCAGAGGTCAGAGGAGGCCCCGAGGCCACCAGCCCCGCCCGCTGGGCCTCCGGCAAAGGGGACTCTGAGGCTGGGCTCCAGATGGACACGGTGGCCACAGCCGTGGTGGGGGAGCCTGAGGGGCCGGGGAGAGGGGGGCTGTAGGAGTCTGAGATGCCCAGGGGGTCCGGACAGACATCGGAGGAGGATCTCGGCGACAGGCCTGCCTTCCTCTTGGCAGGACGAGCCTTGGTCTGCGCGCCCGGGGGCTGCAGCTGCTGTTTGTGCTGCTGGCGCTGCTGGCGACATTTAGCTCTGCGGTTCTTGAACCAAACCTGGGGGGGGGAGGGGGAGATGGCATGCGTGAGTGGGGAGGGAGCCCCGGAGAGCCCCCACGCTGCCCCGGGATGATGGTGTTAACTGGTGAGGCATGCCGAGTCACACCGCCCCACCTTGCAGTCGGTTCTGGGGCGCCCAGTCTGTCCGTCCTACCATCCATCCATCCATCCAACCCATCATTCCTATCCGCAATTATACACACACACGCACAATCATACGTACATACAAATAATCACACATGCAGTTGTGCGTATAATCGTGCGCACACGCACATGCCTCCATCCAATCACACATACAGTCATACAAACGCACGTATGCACACTTATCCAGCAATCAATTAAGAAACACGCACGAACTACGACTTTGGGGATGCCTCCGGGGAGCTGACATTCTTGTTGAGAGTGACAGATTAGAAATCAACAGTGAGTACATTGCATAGTATTTTAGAAGGTGATCGATACTTTGGAAGAACCAGTGGAGCGGGAGGAGGGGGTGGCAGGGTAGGGTGTCAGGGGACATTGTGACTTTAAATGTGAGGGTCCGTCTAGGTCCCATTGACAGACACGGTGATCCTGACTGGCTGATAAACAAAGACTTGAGCAAAGCAATGGGGAATAAACCTTCCAGGTAGAAGGAACAGAGAGTGCAAAGGGCCTGGGGCCGGAGTGTGCTTGGCAGGCGTGTTAGGGGAAGAACCGGCTGGCAAAGAGAGTGGGAGGAGGGGTAAGGGGCAGTAATGGGGGTGAAGCATTATGAGGGCTATACATGACTTCGTTATGTCTCTATGTTACTGTATGACTACTCCCCCTCCCTTCACTCTGGGTCCCAGGAAGGGCAGGAAGGGGCCCAGGGCCCCGAGCACCCCACCTGAACCCTGGACTCGGGCAGGTTGATCTTCAGAGCCACCTCCTCTCGAGCATACACATCCGGGTACTGAGTCTTGGCAAACAGGGCCTCCAGTTCCTCCAGCTGGCTCCGGGTGAAGGTGGTCCGCTCCCGCCGCTGCTTTCTCGGGGCGCCTACGGCAGGAACGGGACAACGGGACCATCCAGAGACCCGGACCTCCCAGTCTCTTTGTCCGCTGGCGGGAAGCCCTGACGTCCAGCAGGAAGCCAAGAAGCCCTTCCTGGGGTGCATCTTCCCAAAAGAAGGGTGCATCTACTCCCTGATCTTATAGACCTCACTCTGTACCCCCCTGGGAAATGGGGCCCCTCTTGGCCCGTCATCTTGGGTCTCATGCCTCACCCCGAGAACTGGCCTTAGCCCTGTAAGCAGGTGTATGAGTTTGGTTTTTATCCCCTTTCTAAAATTTCTCACGAACAAAGGCATGTTCAGTTGAAACACGCCATTGAGAGTACTCAACGCCTTCTGGTGTAGAAGAGTGACAGGTCCAGCTAAAAGGAACCACTTCCTAAATTGCTATGAACACCCCTACGCTTTCCTGCACCCCTCAGTGATGTGGAGAAGTGTTTGGCAAATTGCAAAGAACTACATACGGCTGGTGTGTGACTCCGATATCACTCCGGTAAGTTCCCAGCTTCTTCCTGAGAATAAGGGACCCCGAGGGGCCACCGAGAGCTTGGGGGGTCAGAAGAAGGGCGGTACTCACTTGGATAGGACACAGCTTGGTGCATCAGATCCACGCTGGGACCACTCAGGGCCAAGGCGTTGACCGAGTAGTGGGGCCCCGGGTTCATATACGCCATCATGATCTTCGGGGACACCGTGGCCCAGGTCTGTGGGCCTGCAAGAGAGGAGGGGGCGCTCAGACACTCCCCAGTTACCGCGTGGTGCCTGGCAGCCCAAGTCCAAGTCCTGCTTCAGACTCTTCTTAGGTGTGTGACCTTGGGCACCTATCTCTCTGTGCTTCAGTTTCCACGCCTAAAAAATGGCCTTCTGCTTAAAGTGGGCAAAGCTTCCCAGAGACCCAGTCTGCAACAGCAGCTGACACTGTAATGCGAATCCTAGGCCCCAGAAACGATGTCCAGCCTCGCACAGAATCACGGACAGCAGGCTGACCCGCTGTCCCGGCCTGCTTGGGACGGGGTGGTTTCTAGAGAGGCAGGCATTTCCCCCACAAATACGGGAAGGGTCCCCGACAAACTGGGGTGGCCGAGTAGCATCCAAACAAGTGAAGGATGATCTTCCACGACCACGTGTGACCCAACAGGTGGGCAAAGATAAAAGAGGTCCGTTAGCCCCAGAGCCAGCCTGGGTGCGGAGAAGCAGGCGTTCCCGTGTCCGGTCGGGAGCGCCGAGCAGCGAGCATCATCCATGCATCGGAATAAACTGGAAGCATTGATCAAAATGAAATGCCATCTTTCCTCTCCCCACCCCCTCCTTCCCCGGGGCAATTTGCCTTCGGGGCACCTCCGTCCCCTCGAGGGAAAATGGGAATGCAAATAGCATTTACATCTTTAGGTGGTTGGGTGGGTAAATCCAAGATGCGTTATCAGCTCCTTAAACCAGCACCTGACACCATGGTCAGCGCCGCGCAGCGAGAGGCAGGGGGCGCCCCTCGCCCTTTGCAAGCGGATGTTTGCGCAGGCTCTGCAAGAGGATTTCCAATGCGCGCGTGTACAATCGCCAAAATGTGGAAGCAGCCTCTATGTCCACCAAAGGGGAGGTGGTAAGTAAACTATGCAACTAGATGATGTCACATGTATTCAAGGGCATTCCGTCAAGTCACTAAAAGGCCGCCGCGAACTGATTTTTACAGCTGTCTAGTAAATAGTTAAGAGAAATGATCCCACACTTGGCAATAAGAGGAGACGGTGTGTCATTTCTAGATCATCCTGGGAGCCTATTTAACAGAACCCCTCCCAGCCCAAGGGTTATTTCATTTTCTAAGGGACCGGATCTCTGTTCGGGTTACTATTTGCTATGGATCAGCCTCCGGACTCTGATAAGGTAAACGGTAACTTGCAAGAAGTTTGGTGGCAAATGATTTGTCTCCGCAGAAAGGATGACCTCAAGGTTACAGAGGATTTGCTGCCCTGTTGCCCAGTTTCCTTTCTGTTTTCTGCACGTTCCCTGAAGAACCGTAGTAGCCACTGTTCCTTGACTTTTCCCCTTTGAAACAGCTGGTTTCCTCATTTAATAACTTAAATAATATTTGATCAGGGCTTATTATGTATGTGTCTGAGAGTCAGGTTTTCCAATTTTGTTAAAATTAGGGACGCCTGGGTGGCTCAGTCGGTTAAGCGTCTGCCTTCAGCTCAGGTCATGATCTCGGGGTCCTGGGATTGAGCCCCACATCGGGCCCCCGCACAGCGGGGAGTCTGCTTCTCCCTCTCCCTCTGCCTGCCGCTCTCCCAGCTCATGCTCTCTCTGTCAAATAAAATCTTTTTTTTTTAATTCTTTTTGTTAAAATTACACTTTTTTAAAGATTTTATTTATTTATTTGACACAGAGAGACAGACAGAGACAGAGAGAGACAGACAGAAAGAGGGAGAGAGAGAAATCCAGGTTAGCGTGTAGCATGCATATTATGTATGCACAGAAAATTTCCAGGAAGGACAGAGGATACCTAGAAGTGAGGCCCTCTGGAGAGGTGTCCTATATCCAAGCCTTGTTTTTACAGTTTGGACTGCTCTGTCACCGTACGGACATATAAGCTTTTCAAAAACAAAAGCAACAATAAAATCTAAACAAAACAAAAAGCCATGAGACCCTTTCCGGGGCTCCCGATCGCCCCCACTAAGATGGCCTCGGGGAGCCTCCCAGCCTCTCTGGGTGTGTGCATAAGCCGTTCCCCGGGTCAGGGATGCCTCTTGTCCGGTCCCTGTCATAGCCAACCCCTTCTCTTCCTGCAGGCTCCAGCTCAAGCATAACTTTCCTGGGGAGCCATCTTACATGCTAACCTGGATCTCTCTCTCCCTCCTTCTGTCTCTCTCTCTGTGTCTCTGTCTATCTGTCTCTCACACACACACCAATATTTCAGAAATAAGTAAAAGTAAAAAACAGAAGACCTTTGCTTTAGCTCCTTCCCCCCTCCTGCTCCCACTAGCCTGTCCTTCTCATCCCTCACTTGGGGGATGGTGTTCTATTTATCATAAACTGGGGTCCTACTGCCCCGCCAAGAAAAATGTTTGAGATTCCACCTTGCTGTAGGAGGTGGGGATGTAGCAAGAAATGAGGCACACAGCATGACTCTTCTCATGGGATTGAACCTCTGGGAAAATGAAATGGGGTAACGGGATAGTGATGAGGTTTGGGGCAAGGGAAAGACAGCTCATCTAGATGGATGGTCAGGGAAGGTCTCTCTGTGAGGATGGGACCTTGGGGCGGAAAAGTGATGGGCTCAGTCACCGTGGGAAGATGCCTCCAGGCAGAGGGAACAGCAGCTGCAAAGCCCTGAGGCTGGGATCATTTTGTCTCGTTGGAGGAGGAAACCAGGTGCCCAATGTGACTGGAGCAGAGCGATCCAGGTGGAGAGCGAACCAGATGATGTAGGGCCTGGCCAGGAAGGTCATGGGGAAGCTCAGTGCTGGTGGTTACAATAAAAGCAAAAAGCCGCTTTAAATCCGAAGACCTGATGGGCGTTCTAGGAAGCCCCCAATAATCTTCCCCCTGGTAGTTACCCCCTTGTGTTGTCCCCTCCCACAGAGCAGGGCTGCCATGGGCCCCCCATTCGGCACTGCAGAAATGACAGGGTGACCTCCAAGGCTGGCGCTGCTCTGGGGGGAGCCGGTCGGGGTCATGGAGTGGGGTGCATCCAGGGGGCCAGGAACTGAGGCACCCCGCCAACAGCCATGGGACCAAGCCCCCCATGGAAGGTCAGTTCCAAAGCATCAGGCAAGCCCTCCAAGGACTTAGCCCTGGTCGACATTGGACTACATACAACAGTGCGAAGAGACCTGAGCCCGAATCATCCAGTGGAGCTGCCCCGGATCCCTGTCCCTCAGACACTGTATGAGACCATAAGTGTTTGTTGCTTTAAGCAGCTAAGGTTTAGTGTGACTCGTTACACGGCTAGGGCTAACTCACACACAAGCCTTCTCTATGCAGGACGCCCTTATGTCAACAGAGCCTTGGGAGGCAGACTCGGCATTCCTGTTATGCTCCCATTTCACAGATGGGAACGTCTTCAAGCTCAGGCAACTTTACTTGCCCAGGGTCACACACGGACTGTGGGGACCCGGGATTCCAACCCTGGGTTGGAGGCTTCTGAAGGCTGTTCTCCCAGCACCCAGCCTGGGTTCCCTCTGTCCTCTCCCTCTTCTCCAGGGGAGCTTCTGGAGGGTGCAGAAACAGGGAGACCTGTGGCACTGCCCTGCTAGGGACCAGGTGCAGAGCCTGGAATGAGAGCATCCACGTTCATTGTCTTCCCCATCGAGTCTGCGCCAGGTTAACCAGGCTAAGCGGTTGGCCTTCCAGGAAAGCCCGGCATTCTGCACTGGGGTGATCCACCCTACAGACAGGGAATCTGAGACTGGGGTGAGGAAGGTGCTCACCCAAGACCAAGCAGCTGGTCATGACAATGACCTCCAGCATTGAGCGTTTGCCGGCTTCCTCAGACAACCCACAAGGGCTTTGCGGACAAGACGTCCGCAAAGAATAACAAAAATAATGTCGGACATCCACTGAAATTTTTCTCTGGCAACAAGATGAGACAGCTAGTGAGATCACGGCCTCAGGACTTGCCCACTCTACACAGGCTTTTGGTGTCCCATCCCAAGAAGCACAGACAGCAACAGCTCATACGTCTACCTTTTGTTGAGAATCTACAATCAGCCTGACAGCTACCCTGTCATCGACCCGCGGGTGAAGTTCAAGGCAATAATGCTTCATTGTCCCAAAGGTGGGCTGAGGAACACCACCCTCCCTGCCCTGCGGATCAACCCGTGGAAGCTGAGGCTGGCACTTGGGGCTTCTGGGGTTCAGCAGCCACTGGGTCCAGGCTCCCACCTGAGCAGGTGCTCTGACAGGTAAGGCCTGAAGGCTTGCACCCATCTTGTGGGTAGTCAAGGAAATGATCCCATTCTACAGGTGGGGAAACCGAGCCTGAAGGGTACAGAGGAAGGCACCCACCCCCAGTCAGGCAGCTGACAACCATAAGGACCTCCAGTCATGATCCCCCAACTGCGCCTCGAGAACAAGATCTCAGGGAACAATCATCCCGATAAAACTTCCTCCAAGGTAGGTTCTACTATGATCCTCGCTTCACAGAGGAGGAAACCGAGGCTCAGAGAGTAGAGTCCCCTGCTCTCGACCCCCAACTCTGCCCCCGATCCCCCCAAAGCAGGATGAAGCCAGCTCCCTCTCCTGGGCTCACTGCAGGCCAGGCCTGTGACATGGGGTCCCAGTGGCTCTTCATGGCAACTTGTCGTTGTCACCACTTTAGCAGACTAGGAACCTGAGGCCCAGGGAGGTCACGTGAATGGCCCAAGGCCACACAGTGAGTAAAAGGCAGGCTTTAAGCCCAGACTCAGGGGGCCCCACAACAGCCCTGGCAAGACTCCCCCAGGTCAGCCACGTTCAAGGTCCTCCTTTGCCTTGTCTGCACCGCCCCCACGAGCTCTGCCATCCGGTGGGACAAGGAGCCGAACTATACATGCTCCTGACCCAGATGGGACTTGGGGAAGCAGGAGTCTCTAGAGTAGGGAGGCCCCCAGGTAATCACTCCACCAGCATGTGAGCTGAGAATCTCGGCATTCCCGGCCTGGTCGGGCCCCCCCAGGGTCTCCCCTTCCTCCCTCCTGCTGCCGGCCAGTGGCTCTTGCGTTCTATTTCTGTCATTCAGCATCTACTCAAATAACTAGGCACCCCAGGCATTCCCCCCATGCCCTGTCCACCCTCACTCCCTCCTGTTGCGCTCACAGGCACCCTGCACCTCAGACACCAGGATGGAAACGCCATTGCCTAGAGGACCCTGCAGCAAACATCACACATCCCTTCCTCTCGGTCCGTGAGAACTGAGAACTGAGTCTCCCCTCCCTCACTCCCCCTCCCTCCATCCCCTCTGCCACTCTTGCAGACACTCACCTTCAGAAACGGGGGGACGGGGCTCTCCTGGCAGGTGGCAGAGGCTGAAGGAAACGGGTCCCCTCACATGGGGAGATTTTAAGCCCCAGCTGGGAGTGATGTCATTTGCGGTGGCCTGGATCTCAGAGGGTAATCCTGGCCCCGGGTGGGGGACTTGACTGGACGCCAGGAGGTGACATTGGCTGGGAGGGGGAGGGGCACCCGTCTGCCTAATCCCCCCTCTCCTCCCCAAGACATCTTGGCAATTAGGGCTGATGGGGACGGGAAGCCCCAGCTCTTGCCTGTGACAAGGAACCCCCACTCTTCAGGGAAGTTCTTCCTGAGGTCTAACTGGTGTCCCTCCTGCTTTGGCATCCCATCATAGAGGGAGAGAAATGCTGGGTGTTGCTGAGAGATTATTTGAAAAATAAGGGGTGCAGGGCTTTCTGCCTCCCCTCCTGGGTCACCCTTTCTCTCCCCAGCATTCTGTCTGCCAACTTATTCAAACCTGTCTGGCCCCATTGTTCATGGCTTCTGGCTCAGTTTCCCCTTTTCTCTCTGTTGGCCTTGGCCTCTATCACTTTGGTCTCCGACCTTTCTGACTCTAACGGACATGAGCTTCTCCTACTTGCTCTACTGGTCTTTTTGGGGGGTCTCTGTGCCTCAGTTTCTCTCTTCCTCGGGCCCCCGGCTATGCATTCCTGCTACTTCCCCCCATCTCGTTCTCCAACTCTTTGCCCCTCTGTCTCTGTCCTGATTGATTTCCTTGCACTTCTGCCCTGGTCTCTTGTTCTCGGATCTCTCATTCCCTTTCTTTCTCTGCGACTCTGTCTCTGTTTTGCTTTGGGCACCTGTGTCTCTCTGTCCCTGTCTCCCTGTCTGTCCACCTGTCCCTGCAACTCCAGCATACCCCCTGTACCTCTGTGCTTCTTTATCCAACCTCCCAAGTTCCAAGCTCTGGTCTTGTTTCTCTCTCTTTTTCACCAACACCTCATTTGATTCTTTGATTCTCGCTTTCTTTCTCCCAACTTTCCCTCCAATTCCGCTTTTTCCCTATCTTGGTAGCCTCTCTCACTCTGTACTTGTGATTGTCCTTGTCTCCATCTCGCTCCCTGGGTCTGTTCTATTTCGCCATACACCCGAGCATGCACACGCACACGCACACATCCGCACACACGTACATACACGCGTGTGCTGGTGGTAATCCTGCCTTGTGGCTGGGTCATTGTGTCTCACCATAAGGGGCTCTTTCTTTCTCCACCCACACGAACCCCCTGCCAGGGGGAGATTAAGGCCAGCAGCCTGGCTGGGGAATCAGGCAGGTCTCATTAGCTTGAAGAACCAGGGGTGACAGGGAGAGAGGGAGGGGCTGTCTGACCCTCAGTGACCAGTCAGGAGGCTACTGAGGGGACAATCCAGTGCTGTTAACAGACTGTCCTGGCCCACTGGAGCAGGGAAGGAAAGGAGGCTGAGCAGGGAGAGCGAGAGAGGGTCCTTACGGCCCCATGGAAGAAAAGTATCAACTTCTCCACGTCACCTCCTCCTGGGACTCTGCACCCATCTGCCTGTCAGGGCCCCCCCAGGGTGGGAGGGTGTGCAGAGGTGGGTCTCAGAAGGTCATGCACACGGCCCTGGGGGGCAGTTGAGTCCACATTTAGGCCCTTCTTCTGAGCTGGATCCCCCCAGGAAAAGTCAATTTCTTTCTCATTTCCACCTAGAGACTCAGGAGGAGATTTTGTCATTTAGCCTTGCCCACTCCCTTTTTCCTCACGTTCGTCCCACAGCCAATCCATCCCTAAATCCTGTCATCTCTTCTTTCAGCCAATTGTCCCTCTACAAACATCAAAGCTCTGCTGGGAGACGTTAAAGGAGACCCAAGTCAAGAGTGAAATAAACCAGGGATTGGGAGACTCCATATTGTTAAGATATGTCAATTCTTCTCAGACTAATCGTTAGTCACTGCAATCCCAACCAAAACCTCTCAAAAGTGTGTTTTTGTAGAAACCGACAACCCGATTCAAAAATCTCTATGAAAATTTAAAGAATCTTGGGGCGCCTGGGTGGCTCAGTCGTTAAGCGTCTGCCTTCAACTCGGGTCATGATCCCAGGGTCCTGGGATCGAGCCCCGCATCGGGCTCCCTGCTCGGCGGGAGGCCTGCTTCTCCCTCTCCCACTCCCCTTGCTTGTGTTCCCTCTCTCACTGTGTCTCTCTCTGTCAAATAAATAAAATCTTTTTTTAAAAAAAGAAAATTTAAAGAATCTAGAATATCAAAACAGTCTTTAAAAAAAAGCTGGAAACTTATATTACAGTAAGTCAGCCTGAAGTCAGCTTCAGGACTTACTGCAATGCTACAGTAATCAAGACAGCGCGATATTGCATAAGGACAAGCAAATCAATCAATGGGACAGAATACACAGTTCAGAAATTGGTCAAAAACTTTATGATTAATTGATTTTTTGACAAAAATGCCAAAGCAAGTCAATAGGGAAGTCTTCAATACATCATGTTTGAACAATGGAATATCCACATAAGAAAAAATAAAAGAAAGAACCTCAATCACAATACACAAAAATTAATTTGAGAGAGATCACAGTCCTAAATGTGAAAAAGCAAAAGTATAATGCCCCTAGGGGTGGGGAAGACACAAAAAACAGAGACATATTCTTCTTGACCTGGGGATAGGCAAGTCTCTTAAACAGGACACAGAAGGCAATCACCATGAAATAGAAAATCAATAAATTAGATGTGATCAAAACCAGAAAATGCTGCTCTTCAAAAAATATCACTAAGTACAAGAAAATGCTAGGCACAGTCTGTGAGAAAGCATTTGCAAAACCTATAGCTGGTACAGACCTTATATCCAGAATACAGAAGAGTCCTTCAACTCAGTAATCAAACCACTGGAAGAAACACTTCATAAAAGATATCCTGATACCCGATGAGCCACACACACACCACAGACAACATTTGTCATCAGGCAAACACAAATTAAAACCAAAATGGCATGCCACAACACGCACACCAAAACGTTTGGTCAAAATGATAAAACCTGGAGTGGAGAGGGGTAACGGCCTGCAAAGTGGCCCGAGGGAAACTCCGGTTAGTGCAATATTGTGTATCTCCAGAGGCACGGTGATGACATGAGAGCACCAATTTGTCAAAATGCATCAAACTGATCATTTAAAATGGGTGCATTTTATCGATGTAAATCGTGCCTCAATTTAAAAAAAAAAGGGAGGGGGGATGAGGGAAATACCGCTACCCCCGGTGTAACCTGCTCTCACCAGCCCCACCGCTGGGAGCAGCGAAGGATTGCAGCAGGAGGCCCCGCCCCCGACCGCGGAAGCCCCGCCCCTCGGGCCCGCAAGCGTGGGAGCCTCAGCTCAGCGTGGGAAGATCAAAGCCTCAACTCGGGCCACCACTGGAAGAAAATGCATTCTGTGCCCACGTCTGTGCGATCTGGCCTCTAACCACTCAGTCCCCTTCTGTCCCGCCGGCCTCTTCCGGTCCCCAAACTAGCCAAGAGCAGGAAAGGAGCCCAGAGGAGACCGGAGGTCACGAGGCCCCGCAGGAGACAGGGTCCTGGGGCAGCCGGGGGGTGACAGACACTGGAGGAGATCCAAGGGCTGGGAGACAAAGGGAGAGAGAGGAGGACTCTAAAGAGGAAATCAATATTCATTTGTTCAGTGATTGAATGCCGGGAGAGATGTAGAGAGGCAAAGAATCTCGGTGTTTTTCAAGGGCCGCCCAGGTCCTCAACTGCAGGAGACGGGAGTGGGTTAGACTGTGGGGGGCCCTCCCCCTGCACCCCGTAGCTCCCTAGCACACTCGCACTGCTTTATTTTCTGCAAAACTCTTACCAACGGCTTGTCTCTCCTCCGCCCCTCTCGCAGGACGTGAGCTCTGGAAGGGCTGGGACCTTGGCTGTCTGGGACAGTCCCAGCACAGAGTAGGTGCTTAATAAAGGGATGGGTGAAGGGCCGAGTGAATGGCAGAGGGGCAAAGAGACACACACACAGGGCAGAGGCGGGCTGTGGTTTTATGGAAAGGGCCAAAGACCTGTGATTGCCGCAGGAGTCAGCGAGGTCCGACTTGGGAGTACCCAACAGTGTTTCCAGATGCTTCGGAGATCACATTATTGCTGAGTTGGTTAGTTCAGGATCTAACTGTCTCTGAAACCCAGGTTTTCTCCACCTCCCGTGTTGGGCAAGGTGGCATCCACCCCAGCTCCTTGTTCCCACTGGACAGGGGAGCCATCAGGGGCTGCAGAGCAAAGGTGAACCCCACGGAGGTGGGGGAGTCTTCCCAGAACCGATGTGGAGCCACGTGAGCCTGGGTTTAAAGCCTGGCTTTCACTCAGTGCAGTGTCTGAGCAGTTGGGACTGGTGGTCCTCAGGCTTGTCAGCTGTGGTGCTGGGGGGGGAGGGGCGGGGGCGGGCACTTTCCTCCCCACCCTTTAGGCTCAGTCTGCCCACCTGTAAAGAGGATTATCTCCTTGACCACCCACAAAGTGGGAATCAGCCTTCAGGCCTCACCTGTCAGAGCACGTGCTCAGATGGGAGGCTGGACCCAGTGGCTGCTGATCATCTGGAGCCCGGAGCGCCAGCCTCGGGTCCCATGGGTTGGTCCCCAGGGCAGGGAAAGTGGTCTCCCTTAGCCCATCCTTTGGGATTGTGAAACATCATATTGCTTTGAAATTTGCCCAGGTTGCAGAAGACTTATACAGGCATTTCAGAAGTGAAGATAGTAAATGGCCCATCAATGCATGATGCAGGGCACTGTTTCATCAGTTGCCAGGCAAATGGAAATTAAAACCTCACAGCAATACCTGTGTCCCACCAGACGGCTAAAATGAACGTCTGACAATTCTAAGTGTTAACTCGCACACAGCTGGTGAGCACGTAAGGTACTCCAGCCCCTCTAGGAAACCACTGGGCAGTATTGTTAAAAGGTGCATGTGTGCCTATTATATAACCCAGCCATTTCATTCCTCGGTCCATACCCAACAGGAACACGTGCTTATTTCAGGAAGAAGATGAGAAGAA